TCACTTATTCCTCCCTTTGGTAAATAAAGGTTTCTGACAACAAAGCTGAGCAGCGCTTGACTGGCCTTTACAGCAGATAAATAAAAAAGACAACACAGAAAGAGAGTAAGACAGAGCGAGGGAGAGGAAGAGAGAGAAGAACAACAAACACGCTCAGATCTTACGACTGGAAGCATGTTGATTTTTATGGAGTAGAGAAGACGTAGCTGAACTAAACCAGGTCATCTTTCAGTTTAAATCAACGCGCTGCAAGTCCGCTAATCGGGGAAGAAGGAAGAAAGGGCAAAATACCATCAGGTAGACGGGGGAGAAGAGAAGCTGTTCAGAGGCGATGAAATAACAGACAGACAAAAACAATCATATATATATGCTCCTAAAACCCAGAGTAGCTCCCTTTACCAACCTAACAACACACACAGGTGAAAACACTAACCTACAACTGTAAAAAGTAAAGTGGTTTAAGTTTTTTCTGTCATTCATCTTGATTTTATTTGGTGTCAATCAGCACCTTTTTACAGTTCTTTTATAACAGCAACACATCTACGGCTTTATATATCTCAAAACACACTCAGGGCTGCTCCCTAGTAAAGCCAGAAACACCTAAAACCACCTGCTACGCACGCGCACGCACACACACACACACACACACACATTTGCGTAAATAAAAACAGGATGAAAAAAAAGCTAAATAATCCCACTCAGTCACCTGGAAGAGAAACTGCTGGTCCAGGTGCAACAACTCATTGGCAATAAAGTTGTTTCCTGACTCGCCTCGGTCTTCTCACACTTAACTGGCCTGCCGTTTCTTCCTCTCAGAGTAAGACCTCCCTAATCCTCCCTTCAGTTCCTCACCTCACCTCGCCCCTCTCCCAAGCAGCCTGGGTGACCTTGTGCACGCTGCATGTCGGCGCACGGCAGAAAAAGCTATCTAGCAGATGTACGACACCTCATCTCATACGGGGGTGAGGGGAATTGCTGTGTGAAGTAAATATTAGGTCATCGCTCGGCTGCATGAGCACACGCGTACACACACGTCTGGAGTCGTTCTTTGGCCTTGCGCACGTAGAGCTCATGTAATAGAACTGTAATGTCATTATTGACTACATCATGCAGACACAAGGTGCCCACGTGATTAGATGAGGACGATGTGAATGTCTTTTATTGATATCACAGAATTAATGTGTGCGAGGATTCTGCATTGTGATGATGTCTTTTTTAAACACACATCAGCATCGATTTTCAACAGGAACATTGAAATTGCATCTTTTGCTGACATCATCCACCCTTGCTATACTGTAGAACTGTCTACTATTCCTGAAAGAAGTGTGAAAGCCGCTTGACCTGTGTATTAGAGTCTGAGACACCCTAGTCTGACTACTCTGCCGTTCTGGATGGGGGTGGGGGTGGGGGGGGGGGGGGGTTAGTTTGCCATCTCCTCAAGGCTAGAGACAGGTAATTAAAAGTCTCCCTCTGATTCGTCTGAAGACAGCAAGCCTATCTATGAAGTTCCTCTTGTGTTAGCAGTGCCGACTCCTGACGCTAGCACTCTGCCCCTGCTAACTCAACACTGATCTGAAATATTAATGAAGAAAACGCGTTTGTGTGTGCCCTGAAGTCAACGCTAACCTACAAGTGCACGCGGGAACACCCAACGAACAATGATGTGCTCAGCTTTTCTTCAGCTGGTCAAGTGGTAGACTTCCAGCACCGATCCCCCCTTCTCACCTTCCACTGGAGCTCGTTTAACAGCTGCGGATGACAGAATGAGTGACTGAGCCACACGCGTTTAACCCCTGCTGCGACCACCGATTAAAGCTGAAGCTCTACAGCACACCGCCGAGCTCACCTATAAGACGCGCCTGTGATCCGGCTGTGATGAGAGACAGTGTTGCCTTTGTTGGACTGGGTACCACATCAGATCACGGTATGCTACAGCTGCCATGCTCCACACTGCTCTCCCCCAGCGGACTAGCTCACGACACCCCCTCCGAACACGCGTTCATAGGAATCTGTGCATGCATACGCTCAATCAACCTCACACACACACATGCATGCACGAACACACTCCCTGATATGCCTGCTCACATCAAAGAGAATAAACATTAATGGCAAATAGGTAATCTGTTCATCTTGTCTGTTTTACATTTCAGGGTAAGATCGACTGCCTCTGGGGGGCCGGGGCCTCCTCTGATTGAGAGCAGGAATAAAAGGAGCAAGAAAAAAAGGAGGAAGCAACAATAAATAGCAAACATGTGATAAAATAAATTTCTTATTTCATTCATCACTTTACCTTTTACTGATACATGGGGAAGAGAAAAGAAGGTAATAATATTCCCTTCCTTCAAGCCACAACGGCCCACTATGGTCCTAATCTTCCCTCCAGGAATATTCGGATATGGACGTTATTATTCTCATTTGTACTGAATAATATCCCTCTCAGGTCTATCTGTTCTCCCTACTGCTGCCTCCTTTAGGGTCTCCCCGCTCAACCTACTCTCCACGCACTTTTTCCATTCTCTTCTAACTTTTCAACCTGCCCCCTCCAGTCACTATCTTCCTGCTCCTCTTTCTCATTCTGAAGGTTGTCCCGGGCTGCTGTGGCCAGGTATGAGGTGGCAGACAGCGCCTCATATCCTACCTGAGTATCAATCACGGGCTTCTGTCCACTCAATCCTCCTCTGATCCATCAGCCAGCCTCTCAGCCAGCTCAGGCAGCCTCATCCCCACACACACGCACAAACACACACACACACACACACACTTGAAAAGCGCTGACAAATGGTAGCCATGGCACCTAAGCATGGTGCACATTCACCTGCTTTATTTCACAAACACACAAGGTGGAGGATGTGCACTATTGGAAGGAGATGCACGTGACTCTGGTACAATTTGTCGAGATGAAACGCCGCTGATGAAAACTGATGGCAAGAAAAATCCCGTCATTTCTCATAAATGTTTCCGACTTGTGTCCCAAATTTGTTGATCAACTAATAACCTAGCTGGTCAACGTGCAACCAAAACATATTTTCAGTAAACGTTCTTGTTTGTTTTGCTCAGGTTACAAATAACCAAAGACCGTGGGTTCTCTGTGTTGGCTCCGAGACTATGGAAGGATTTGCCTTTCACCGTGCGCCATCACCTTCCTTGCTGGTTTATTAGTCCCGTTTAAAGACGCATTTTTACAGCATGGCTTTCCTGCAGCAGATGTCATAGCATGGCTTCATTTTCTTGTGTGTAATGTGACCATTTTTACTAGGTTTTAAGTTTTATGGTACTTGTTGTCGCTTGCTGTCCACCAAGGTCGTGGAAGAGGCTTTATAAATAAAATGAAATGAGAAAATCATTCAAATTTTCTCACATAAGACACTAAAACGCCAGATTTTTCCTTTAAAATAGTCTCTAGTATCATGGCTGCTACTGTTTCTTTTCAATAATTAAGTAATCCCCTCATCTCCAGCCTGACAGGTTTCTAATGACAACTCAATTATCTGCTGAATTGTCTTGCTAAAACAGACACAAATTGCTGCCGCCATCACCTAACTGCATAAATTTATCACAAATGCCATCATTTTGCATGTCGTACCTCAAACACCGCCTTCACCCAACAACACCAGCCCAACCCACCTGCCTCCCGCTTACTGCTAAGCCGATTACACAACGCAACCCTCCTAATCACAGTGCAGCGTTTACAAACATCGATGTCGCCGACTGTAGCTCTAAATCTCTAAATCCCCTGCACCTTTCATCTCCCACCACACCGGCAACGCAACTTTCCACTGATCTTTTAATCACCGGTGGTTCTGTGAGTGATTGTCACCCCACCACGGAGAGCAGAGAGACAATGCGCAAGAAGAGCCGTTTGTCTGATTCCTCTCAATAAATGGTTGCAGTTCACAGTGCAGCTCCGATATGTGCTGCTTGTTTGAGAGTCTGCGGGTTGAGAGTCGGAAGGACGGCGTCTTTTCATGCAATCACCAACCACACGTGTGGAAGCATCTCCGTTGCATAATCCATTCATCCTGAAATGTCTGTAATGAAGATATTAAAACAGTTTTTCCTTTGTGATTAAAATGATCTCTGCTCTCCCCCGCAGCCATACACAAGTAAACAAAGGGCCTCGCTTGTGCATATATTATGACAACCTTTTCTTCAATTGTACATTTGTGCATATTTTCGAGTGTGTGTGTGTGTGTGTGTGTGTGTGTGTGTGTGTGTGTGTGTGTGTGTGTGTGTGTGTGTGTGTGTGTGTGTGTGTGTGTGTGTGTGGGATTTAAATACAGAACGGTTTACTGGTTCATTAGCAACAGATTAGCGATGCTAATGACATGGATCACCACACACAGAGACATTCTCTTTATGTTACTGAAAGTGATACAGGAGTCGCTATGGTTGTGTGTGTGTGTGTGTGTGTGTGTGTGTGTGTGTGTGTGTGTGTGTGTGTGTGTGTGTGTGTGTGCGTGCGTGCGTGCGTGCGTGCGTGCGTGTGTGTGTGTGTGATGCAGGTGTGTACACATCAGTCTTGCATAAATAACTTAATTCTTCACAAAAAAATACAACAGAGTGTGTTAACAACAGAACTGTGTGAATAATAATGATCGTTTATGTGTGTAATGATTTCTAATTGGTCAAATGAGAGAAATGAAATCTGTACTGAGCAGAGAGACAAGAATGGTGTTTTTGTATGTCCTGCTGTACATCTGCATCATTAGACACAGAAAAATGACAGCAGCAAGGACAAAGACAAGTCGAGAACAAACCATAAAGACAATAAATGCTAGTTTATTATTTTGTTACATTTCACTAAATGATGCGTTTACCCTACAATACATTTACTCTTTTATTTATTTAACAAAACATTGGTCACGCCATACCAAATGAGACTAATTGCATCCTCTTTTTGCCCTTCAAATATTAAAAGCAACGTTCATGACTGAGAAAAAGAAGGTAAAAGCTGAGTGACAGAGCAAACAGAGAGTGAGCAGAGTGTGTGAGGGCGCTACCTTCTGTCCCGACTGCGTGATCTGTGTGAGCGGTGGCTCCTCCCTTTGTCTCTCTCTGCACTTCGACTCCTCCTCCGACGAGATGAGCTGTGGGAGGAACTGCTGCTGGAACGTCTCCGTCTCCTAAAGTGGACAGACGTAAGGAAACACACACACACACACACACAATTAATTCTAAAACTGGAAAAGTTTATGAAATAAAAGCACTGTCAAACTGCAGAATACAACAGAAGTGAAAACTTCTAATTTGTCCTGATTAAAAAGTAAGGAAAAAGATCCCCAAACTTTCATCAAAGTTATTCACATTTGCGATAGTTTAAGTTAGCTCAAAAGGTTTCAAAGACAAATGCATCAAGCACCACCTAAAGCAACTCTCATCCATGTCCTAAAGCTGGAAGCCACAGCAGGCAGCCCTACACTTCCTCCATAGGGGCCCCTTTGTGCTCTGATGCAGAGTGTGTATCATCTTTTCTCCAAAAACGGCTCCAGCCGTGTTCCTACTGATATCAAGGAGTCGAAGGCATTACAGGGTGAATGTAAATGCAGAAATCCTTCTTTTCTCCTGCACAGTTTGTGCAATATTCATTATGTGAAATCTCTTCTTTTGATTCACCAAAGCCAAAAACAACCAAATCTTTGTGTTGTTTTTTTTTTTTTGAACTTCCTCAAAAAATAAATAAAAAAAAAACTCAGTCCTGTGGGACTTCTGCAACATAGAAGGGAGGAGAAAAAGGCTAGCAATACAAATAAAGCAGAAGCTGAACTATCAAACCAGATTTGTAGCACTTAGAGCAGCGCAGCAAAGATCCATTAGTATTCAAAAGGCTGGATCCCGAGAGCGGAGCCTTATGAAATAACTTCCACAGCCGCTCTGCAAAACCACTTCACACATCGCACAGAAGAAAACACGGGCTGGTTAACGGAGGCTTTTGGGTTTTTTTGTTGGAAGGTGGTGTGAGTTCACACATTTTCACAAACACCTGCACCAACTTATTGTAATCAAAACAATAGGTGGAACAAAAGGAAGGAAATAAAATATGACTGTTTAACACAGAAAACATTCAAATGAATTATATCAACATGGTTTCCGCGTCTTTCATTTCTTCTCATCGTCTGGCTCTCTTTTTGCATTCAAGGCAAAGGTTCCAGTTACTCCCCTATACATGTTAATTATGTGGTCATGATGTCACCCACCCACAACACAAGCACTCCTGTGTTTTACCACATGTGAGGTCACTTTACACAGTCTGTGAGTATTCAGGTTGACAGTGCTACTGAACGTTAGCGCTCTTTCGCGTGAGCCTATTTAAAGGGACAGGTTTAAACAGGAACACACACAAGGTCTCGGTTAATTGATCAAAATGTACGGCTAATAGACGAGGGACTGTGGTCCCAGGGTTTACGCTGCCCACCCAGCCCCACTCTGTGTAGGCAGGCAATGACTTCCCATCAACGGTAATGGACCTTGACCAAGTCTCATAAATAATTACCATCAACTGGCCATGTTCTAACAGCCACACAGAGCTTGTGCCAGCTGAGGGTGGATGCATGGATATGTTCACCTGAGAAACACTTCTGAAATCAAAGCAAAAATAAATAAAAAGTGTTAATAACCCACATATTGTTTTTTATATACTTCTGTATGAGCCTGTTTGAAATGCAAACACCAGAATTCATCTCATAATTTCCAGAAAATACTTCATAAAATTACAGTTTAACAACTGAATTTAAAATAAAACTTAATTGTATTAAGCTAAATTCATTTAACAGGCATTGTGATGCAGTTACTCTTACAAGAAATAGGTCACAATAGCTGTATTAACCCCTTTTCTTCGACCAAAGCACAAAAATATTGCCGTGTATCATTTTGTATTCTCGTTTCATGATCAAGCCCTTGTGTGATTGGATGGTCACTAGGGATGCACCGATACCTTTTTTTTTTTTCAAACCGATACGATACCGATGCTTGGGTCTGAGTACTCGCCGGTTACCGATACCGATATTTCAACCACACAAAAAAATGCAATGATTTGGAATACAGATTTTAATTTCTTCTCTGTTTTCAACAGGAAGACTGTGAGGTAGATAAAATGTAAAATATATGAATGGAAATCATCACAAAACTAAAATATTAGGTGAACAGAAATGTCAAGTTACAGTGAAGCCATTTTCAAGCAACTGCATTGGTATCGGTTAACTTTTACCTATACTGATACTAGCACCGATACCAGTATCAGTATCGGTGCATCCCTAATGGTCACAGACCAAGACTGCTTTAAGGCAATAAGTATTGATCGAACTGGAAGATTTTAAACAAGAAGCTTTCAAACTAAACATTACTTTTCAATTTGAGCTTCAGTAGATTAAAGATACAACTCACTTGATGATACTCTGCTCAAATGTTACAGAGATTTGTTCAATAAAATGCCACTAGATATATGGTAAAAATATTCAAAGGCTGAGATTAATTGAATAGTTCTATGTTCTGCAAAATCTAACAATCACAAACTAAATGAAATTTACTCAACAAAATCTGTAAAGAAAGAAAGAAAGAAAGAAAACAGAAAAATCACGAGGCGCTTTATAAAAACAAAATAATTTTGAATATAAAAAAGATTTTTTATGTGATTAAAAATATGTTTAAAATAAGCTAAAATGGACAATTGTGATTAAAAAATAATAATGCAAGAAAAGTGAGAGAAAATGAATAAGAGGGAAATCAGTGGATCCCGGGAAAGGCGGATAAGGAGAGCGTGGTAACGAAGGTCACACCAAAGCCAGCTTGAACAAGTGAGTTTTCAGCTGCTTTTTAAAGGAGACCACTGAGACCACTGATCTCAGGCTCAGGTGGAGAGAGGTCCAGAGTCTGGGGGCCACAGCAGCAAATGATCTGTCACCTTTGGTCTTTAGCCTGGTGCTGCACAACCAGTAGGCTTTGATCACTGGACCTCAGGGACCTGCTGGGGGTGTAGGGACTAAGAAGATCACCAATGTAAGATGGTGCTTGTCCATGTAAGGCCCTGTAGACCAGAACCAGGATCTTGAAATGAACCCTGAAGTGGACTGGCAGCCAATGAAGCTGGAGGAGAAGCGGGGTGATGTGGGTGTATTTGGAGGACTTGGTCAGAAGCTGAGCACAGGCATTCTGAACCACCTGTAGACGGTTCAGGGAGGTTCTGCTCAGACACGTGAAAAGAGAGTTACAGTAGTCTAAGCATGAGGAGAAGAAGGTGTGGATAACTGTCCAGAGCGGGACAGAATGGGACTCAGCTTAGCAATGTTCCTGAGATGGAGGAAGGAAGAGCGAACAAGAGAACTGACATGAGAATTCATGGTGAGAGCTGGGTCAAAGGTCACACCAAGATTCCTGACAGATGATTTGGTGTGAGAAGCAAGCTGACCAAAAGAGTCTCTGACTTTGGGAACCAGCTTGTCTGGGGCACAGATGAGGATCTCAGTCTTATCTTCATTCAGCTGTAGAAAGCTCCCAGCCATCCAGGTTTGGATAGAGTCTAAGCAGGTGTGTAACAGCTGCAGCTTAGACACCTCATGGGGCTTAAAGGAGATGTACAGTTGGATGTCATCTGAGTAAAGATGGTAGGAGATTCCTTTGAAGGAGCTCAGGATGTGCTGAAGAGGAAGCAGATAGAGGAGGAAGAGTAGGGGCCCCAGCACAGAACCTTGTGGGACACCATGGGTAAGAGAGGTGGTGGAGGACCTAACTTGGAGACGGCCACAGAAAAGGAATGCTCAGAAAGATAAGAGGAGAACCACTCCAGAGCAGTTCCTGATAGGCCTACCCAGTCTCTCAGCCTCTCCAGTAGCAGGTGATGGTCAACAGTGTCAAAGACTGCAGTCAGGTCCAGCAGGACCAGAACAGAACAGTCCCCTGCATCACTGTGAGTCAGAAGGTCATTAGAGACCCTAAGAAGAGCTGTTTCAGTAGAATGAGCTCTACGAAAACCTGACTGTAAGCAATCATAGATGTTATGTTCATGAAGAGCAGCTGTGAGTTGTTTAGGAACAAAGTTTTCCAAGATCTTGAAGATGAACGGAAGTTTAGAGATGGGTCTGAAGCTGCTATGGAGACAAGTAGACGTGTGAATCGTCACTAGTCTCACGATTTGATTATCATGTCAACGATTCAATTCAATGCATCATGATTATTTCAGATGGGTTCATTATCATCTATAAATTGAAGATGTCAGATATTTTCTTGTTTTTTTTTTTAATCAACATGTCTGGGACAACATAACACCCCCCAAAAAGCTCTTCAATCACAACAGACCTTAGGTCAATGCAAAAGCGCTAAACATTTAAGAAAATTTAAGACAGTAAAAGAAAATCTGTTTCCTCATTCAACAGTCACATATTGGACTGTGGGGAAAACATTCTCTGCAGATGGTAAGAAAATCTTAAAAAATACCCAAAACTTATAGAACATGTTCAATTATTTCCTTCCATTTAGTTGATAAAACCTATATTAGATCTACATATTAGCTTTAATGGCTCTGGAGCAGCTTTAGAATCAAATATTTATGCTGTGGTTTTAAAAAAAACTAGTGCATTACACTATAATCGATTATCATGTGCTTCTTCAGCAATTCATAATCATTTATGTCTGCATCTCAATGCATCAAATATCAGATTATACTCCTCAGCTCTTCTAACAAGTTAGAAGTATCCTCAAGTATTATAAAAATGTCAGATGTGTTAAAAGCCTCGATGGATATAAATATGGGGAATTTAGCCACAAGCCATGTGTTTATAATGTGTTTACTAACATCCAAACAGGTGTTAAAGTAATAAACCCTAGATGAATTATGTTATAAACATTGCTTAAACCATGATTTTCATCGTCATCTACAGAGAATAGCCATTTAATCTGACTATCTGATCCTGTCTACTGATTATATCAACAAAACTTTATAAAACCTAAGCTGATTTCTTGGAAGTTTAACTGAAGCATCAGCACCAGAGAAGACTTTCTAGTGATGAACCCATCAGAAACCAGTGGTAAAGCTTGTTTCACCTTCTGTCTCTTGAGTGAGATCGGGTCCTGCGACTGGATCTCCGGCTGCGGCTGCTTCTCACCCGGCTACCGGAGGATGAGGATGAAGAAGAGGAGGACGAACGGCGACGCTGTTTTTTCTTCCTCTTGCTCCGACTGTCATCATCACTGTCAGAAGAGCGCCGACCCATGCTGATGCACTATCAGAGTGTCAGCTAGCATAACACACAGGAGAAGGAGTGCTCATTAGTCACCTTTCTACACACTCCAGTAATAATCAAGGGATTTTCTAGAAATTAAACTGTATCCCGGAGAACTGTAACACAGCGTTTAACCTCACATAACCTCCTCCAGATATGTGACTATTACGGAGTCTTAAATCGCGGTGTAAATTGTAACAACACTACAGTCCCGAACTTTTTTTTTAAAGAAACGTTTAGTAAATAAGATTGATTTGCACTGCGGCTAACCAGCGAGCTAATCATTGCTAACATGGTAAGCATTCAGATAAAATTAAGATATCCGTGTTCTAAAAGAAGTATTTCACATTATGCGCGGTCATCTTATGTCTGATCTCATTCCGTACACGCTGTAGTAAAGATATCTGATTTTAGAAAAGACATTATCTTAAAATAGGATGCCAACTACTCACCTTTAAACCGCTAAATATCACACAACCTAGCCATGAACTGCTAATAAGACTCTACTCGTCAAACACAGAAGCATTGATCGAGTGCAGGCATCACGAGTCAAACACAGATCAATCGATTGGGGACAGCGCTCCTGACTAAAATGTTTTTGTTACTCATTTTCTATTATAATTTATTCATGTGAAACCATTTCAATTGTAACTATAAAACCTATTTTGTTGTTTCTACACATTGTCAAAATCCTAGAGAATAACTAAAACTTTGAGACATACACATTTTAAAATAAAATGTAATCTGTTTCAATTCCATTTAAGAAATACAGAATAGGGATTTTGCATAGACATATCCTTTTATTCTGCGTTTATTTATTTTTGTCTTTGAAATTATTAAAATAATTTTGATTACCACCACTCGACATTTCCTTTTGTTCTGCTCCACAGACAATTTGGAAATATGTTTTCGCATTAGACTAAATGATCTGCTCAGATACCATCACACAGTCTGAACTGCATAGGCAGATAGGGAATTCAAGCAATTTGCAGGAAAGTGAAATATTTAATTACATGGGGTGGGAGATAAACACAAGGTGGAGGTGAAGCGACCAACCGATTGATCAGCAAGGTGCATATAAGCTATAAGTGCCTGCAGAGAAACTAAGTGCAGGGAGTCTGCGCTGCAAATAGATAAAAGGAGCTGTTAAACACTATCTGGATCCATCCTGCTTTCAGATGCAGCAAGATTAATAGTAATTAATGCCCAAGGTTCAAGCTGAAACGTCGTTAATATTTAATTAGGTGGATTGTTAGAGCTCCTGTGTGGAAATAAGGCTTTATATAGATTATCAATAAACATGCTTAATTTTGCATTAAATTCATCTCGACGGTTTCCAAATCCCGTTGTATCCTATTTCTTGTCTGGCTTTATGTTTCCTCTTCATAATTGCCCCCCACCCCCCACCCCACCCCCCTGTGCACTGTTGCACCTTTACCGCAAGTGCGTCATCGTTTATTTATTTTTGCAAATATAGGCATTCATTTCAATGAAGCGAGAGAAATGTAAAAAAAAGTGAGCAGGAAACTTTAATTAGGGAGCCCAGTGGCAACGCATCGCAGGAGACACAATAATTAAGCGTTTATCTGCAGTTTAACACCCTAATGGCTTAAAAATCCCTGTGAGAATTAATAAGTGATATAGTCTCGCTAATGATAGTGGTGCAAAATGCATAATTAGTGATTTGTAAAGTAAACTGAGTCATGGATGGAGTAATAATAAATCATGGCTCCTGATTTGAATTAAATTAATGCACAATTTAAAAAATACATTAATAATAATAATAATAAGTATTTCTTATTATTTTATCATTATTTCTCCTTTTAGAATAAATTAAAAGAACAGTAACTAAAATACAAAAAAATGAAACACAATATCTGGCCTGAGGCCAACTTCCTTTACTCTAAACCAAATCTGTCCTCTGAACAATCAGGCTCCCATTGTAGATCCTTGTCCGATCCTCTTCTCCCTGTCACCGTTTGTTGCGTCTTCTTTTTCTCGCCCAGATCACAGAGATGTAGTGAGGAAGAACTCCTCAACCAAGTGCTTCCCTCTCTCTTGTCGTTTTCAGATTATTTTAAGCCCCACCCCTGCAGAAAGAGCGAGAGAGAGAGAGAGAGAGAGAGAGAGAGAGAGAGAGAGAGAGAGAGAGAGAGAGAGAGAGAGAGAGAGAGAGAGAGAGAGAGAGAGAGAGAGAGAGAGAGAGAGAGAGAGAGAGAGAGAGAGAGAGAGAGAGAACCATGACCATCTCCCGGGTGTTTAGAAACTAACTCAGGACAATAGCAGCGAATGAGCGCTTAATTAAATTAATTAGTCCTTCTTGTCAATCTTGGATTAATGGCCAATAGCGGCGGTGCTGCTTAATGTTTTTACTCCTCTTCCCTCTCTCTCCCGTATCAGTGGAGGAGAAGGGGGGCTCATCCCGGCATCCTGAGGGGAGGTAATTTGCACGGATCAAGGGGGCAAGGCGCCGCAAAGTATAAATACTGTGACTTCAATCGAGGATCACCAGCAGGTTCCCAACTCTGCCTCTAAAGGAGGAGGAATTGGCCATAAGAAGATACATCTTATACATTTTTTCACCTTCATCTATACAGCTGGCGTGCGTCACCTTGCATCATTTTCAAGAGGTCGACTTTAAAACGAGCCACACCATTGATGTCTGAAGCTGCGCGTGGAGCAAAAGGGAGAGTGTGAGTGTATGGTGTGTGGTGATTTTTTTTTTCAAGAGGAGAGGAAGCAGTGATGGAAGAGCTCACCGCTTTCGTGTCCAAGTCTTTCGATCAGAAAGTGAAGGAGAAGAAGGAAGTGATAACCTACAGGGAGGTGTTGGAGACCGGGGCAGCGCGCGCAGGAAGCAGGGACTCTTTATCCGCGGAGCCGGGGAGCCGAGAGGAGGCGGCAGCCGTTACCCGGAACGTAGCGCTCTCTCCGGGCAGGGAAACGGACATGCTCGGCCCGGAGCGGATCAGGGACGCCGGGAGCCCCAAACTCATAGACGGTAGGGCTTGATGTGGAGCCTGCTGCGTGCACGCAGTCTAACCCGGATTAAGAGATTAACGGGAGAGATGGAGTTCACGAAATTATCATTTGTGAGGGAAGAAAAATATAAAAAAAACTCAATATTATTTAGCTAAATAAAGATGATTGTTTTAGCAGCTCACAAGTCACTATGACACACCATTACTGAATTAAATATTATTCATTGTTATTCTAATTTAATTTCCAGTCAGAATAAAAATATTTGAAATTACAGCTATTTTATGTTTACTATGTTAGTTAAAAAAGTTCTGAATTACAGCTTATAATAAATAATAACCCCCAATAACCCGTAACAACGCATTATTGGATATATTACCAAGGCCCTCAAATAGAAATAGATTTTTTTACAATATAAAGAGTCAATTATTCATTTTCTATCAAATAATTACATGAGATGTGTTTACGTGGTTTCAAACGCTTCAGTCTAGTGTTTTACACTCGATAAGAAATCTATTTATTATTACATGAGCCCCACTTGGTCTCAATTGTACCTCAGGAATTATTTATTCTCTGTCGACTTGTATATTTCAGGGAGAAGGGAGAAGGGAGAAGCACCTGATATTCTGATTTTTAAACGACTCAACACGAATCAAAGCACAAATGTCTCTTTCAATGTGTGAAAACCACACACACTGAAATCTCATATCAGAATATTAAACATGTTTAGAACACCTGGTGGGAGATAATTATTTTTAATCATTATTGTCCTAAATAAATCAAGGCCCTGCTGAACGCCAGTGGATTTAATAAGAACAAAATAAGAAGAAATGCTTAGACATTTTAAACAAATAGGCTCGTTTATTATTTAAATAATAATAAGATAATTTGTTAGACATAGTAGAACGTGTGTGTGTGTGTGTGTGTGTGTGTGTGTGTGTGTGTGTGTGTGTGTGTGTGTGTGTGTGTGTGTAGAAGGCTCACTGGACAAGATGTCTTGGAGTTGGGTGGCTTGTAAAAGTGACATCTGTTCGTCATGGGCAGCGTGGTTAAAAGCGGAACAGCGACAAGCATGTATCAGACATCCAACAGAAGATGCGGCGTTGCATATTTATAAGCTGTTAATAATTAAAGAGCTTTATGTAGCTCGACAAAATATCCGAGGATTGAACGCTCTGTGATGTGAGAGGGCACGTCTTTCTTTCTTACTTCCTATTCTGTGTTGCTGCCCATTCTCGTGCAAACCCTTCATTCTGCTAACCCGCACGGATGCAATTTCAATTTTAAATGCAAAACATTCAAATGCAATCATTAAACAAAATGTGCTGTAGAAGGGATGCAGATTTACAGCGTTTTAAAGAATAAAATCACATGAAAATCACCGCCACAGTGCTGCAGGCCTGGAGCGGAGGTGACCGCGCACTGATGCTGATGCTGATTCCCTCCTCGTCTCCTCACAGGCACCACGGAAGTGAAAGACAGGAAAGAAGACTCGAAGCCCATCGAGGACGAGACGCAAACTAAAATCAAGCAGAGGAGAAGTCGGACTAACTTCACGTTGGAGCAGCTCAACGAGCTGGAGCGGCTCTTTGACGAGACCCACTACCCGGACGCGTTCATGCGGGAGGAGCTGAGCCAGAGACTGGGACTGTCGGAGGCCAGAGTACAGGCAAGGGTCAATTCATCCGGAGAAAATAAATCAATAATAATAATAATAATAAAGCACGTACAGACTAAATTGTTATAGGAGCACATGAAAGATGCAAACATGTGCATCAACATCTTATAATTTCATTATTTTTTGTTTGCAGTAATACATTATTAATGATGTTTTAGTAACAGTAATAATAATTATTATTGTAAAATTTAAAAAAATGCATGTTTCTTCTTTTTTATTCTAATCTCTTATTGACATTTTGTTTGCTTACAGTTTGCATTTTTTTTAAAAGAAGATGGGGATAAACCAGATTTGCGTATTTGTAAACTGGAACCAATAAGCTTTCTCTAACAATTTCAATATATCAAATCAAATGCATGAAAGTTTTGGTAGTGTGTTACCAAAGCTGTGTTTATCTGCTGCTGTAGTTGTTTTTCATGGGGATAGACCATCTGTGCAGAAACCCAGTCCGAGCGGTGGGAGATGGAAGCTGGGGAGGGTAGTGGGGCTCAGACATGTCCTGTGTGAGGCGAGCAGGGGAGGGGGTGAGGGATGAGGGGCACGACAAAAGAACACGAGGAAAACTCTTTTAAAAAAATGTTTTTTTCTTTTCGTTTTATGAAAAACTTTGAACATTTATTTCCCCTGTCCACTCTCACGGCGGAGGAGGTACCTCCATATTTAATATTGTTCATGGAGAAACCAGCCCTGAACTGACCTCCATCATGAACTCACCCCCTATTAAAAAAAAAGTTAAAAGCAGATTTTTGCCGGGCTCCCCAAGCCCGAACTGGAATCTCCCCAATAAGGCGCATTGTGTCCTGAACAAGGAGCCCAGCTCGGGGATTTGCATACATTATGTATTATTTTCAACCCAAATCAAGACCAGCTCTCTCTTTTATCTCCATAGGAGTATTATATCTTTTTACCAGCTGGGTGCAAAAATACCACACACTTATTTGGACGGGTCTCTAAGTTCTGCCCCAATCAATACCTGCACTGCATTTGCTTTTATAATAGCCATAAATTATAGGCGAAGAGCGCGCAAAAGGACTTCCGAGTCACATACACGCGCTGATCAATAAGTGAAGCCAGCTGACAGGAGGATCGATATGATATTTCAATCATCCTTTCAGTGTTTGAGGGAGATTGCAGATTAAACCCTCCAATTGTGGGTTTATTTAGCGCCGGCTTTATCCAAGGTATTCAAAAGCAGATTATCATATTAATAAATCGTTTAATGTCTGTTCCAAGGCGTTTCTGTGAAACCGAGCTTGTCGATGCAGAAGGGAAAGAGAAACGTGAGCATCCTTTTTTGAATAAGTGTTATGGTGATAATTTAAGCGCGCCTCTGACATGGATTTTCTGCATATAAGGGTAATTAATTTCAGCGGTCATTTAAGCGGTGAGTGGGACGGAAAGAGAAAGAGAGGGAGATGCTCTCAGATCCCTTTCCTCTGATCTCCCAAACCGTGATAGCATTGCTGCAACTGGATATCCCAGAGTCCATTCAACTCTTCTGGGACACACATCTATAGAAAGATGAAACCAGCGCTGACAAGGTTATTTATTGTAGCCCAAAAGTCCTGCGCACTTCCAAGAGGAGTCCTTCTATTCTCCTAATGAGCGTGACATCATCATTCCCTCTTCTTTTTTTCTTTGTTACTCTCTCCGTTCAACCCCCCTCCCACGTTTTTCCTTGTTGTAGGCTAAATGTAATAATTAAAATCTGGGGTTAAGCAGTGTCATTAATATTTCAGTGCTCCTCGGGGATATTGTTTTTCTGCGGTTGTTGTCACTTTGAGAGGAATTACACACGGCCTCACAAGCAGCTGCCAATCAGCGGGTCTCTAATTAATTTATGTCCCTGCAGGTTTGGTTCCAGAACAGAAGAGCCAAATGCAGAAAGCAGGAGAACCAGTTACATAAAGGTAACTCTTGCAACATACACACATAACTGCACTCCATTTATTCGTGCAATCAAATGTGTGCATTTCTTTGCAGTGCTCATTATGCAGGCCTTGCAGTTCACACGTTGTGGGGGTGATGATTCTCATGATCATCTGTGTTTTCTGCAGGAGTCTTGATTGGAGCAGCGAATCAGTTTGAAGCTTGTCGTGTAGCGCCATATGTCAACGTGGGGGCTTTGCGGATGCCATTTCAACAGGCAAGTCGCTTTGAAACGTCTATATTATAATAAATAAATAAGCAATATAAAGAAACAGCTCAGCCCTTCTACCCAACCCACCCACCATCATGCCCCGACTGCTGTCTTGGCACAGGATACAAAAAACTCCAGTTCCAATGTGGAGTAACAAAACTCTTATTACCTCACTGGCAATGACAGCGTGGCTTAAGTGGGAAATTCCCTTTATTTATGGGCCTTTTTATTTGAGCAAATACATAAATTTAGGTTTAATTGTGAAAACGTTGCAAAACGTTTTTTTTTAGATTTGGAGTCCAGAGTTGAGACTCAAGGTTTTATCCCACGAGTCACGTGATTAATTTGCAACTTTTGCAACTTTTGCATCTCAGTTGCACGTTTAAGTGTGGGATTGAAGGTCTAAACACAACATAAATGCTTCAATCAAGAAGATAATTAATAACAGAGCTTTGTTTTCACATAATTACGAGTTAAAAAGGTAAGAGCATAAATGACAATGAAAATGCGCACACCTGTTAACAGTTCTCTCTTACAGCCAGTGAGTTTTTACAACCAATTAAACATCACAGTCAAGTTGTTCACAAAGTAATAAATGATTTAAATTCTCACCATAGTATAACATGAGCCTTCAAGCCAACTTAACGCATGTTCTCCCCCTTCTCTCCCCCTCCATCCGTCCTCCCGTCCCGTAGGATAGTCATTGCAACGTGCCGCCCTTCTCCTTTCAGGTGCAGGCGCAGCTGCAGCTGGACAGCGCCGTGGCCCACGCGCAGCACCACCTGCACTCGCACCTGGCAGCGCACGCGCCCTACATGATGTTCCCAGCGCCGCCGTTCGGGTTGCCCCTGGCGACGCTCGCGGCCGAGTCTGCCTCCGCCGCCTCCGTTGTGGCGGCCGCCGCCGCGGCCAAGAACACGAGCAAGAACTCCAGCATCGCCGACCTGAGACTGAAGGCCAAAAAGCACACGGCCGCGCTGGGACTGTGACGGGAGGACGCGAGGCGGGGACGCTCCGCGGCCTCGCGACTCAACAGACACTGAAATAAAAAAAAGGAAGAAAAATATCCACGGACTTAATTTATGTTTTCTTATAATGAAGGAGGACGAGTATAAATATAGAATATCGGCTATTTATGAAATAAGAGACGAACTGTGATAGCCTGGAGGACGAAAGTGGACGGAGACACCCCTGAGGAGGACGCAGCTTGATGGGTCGGTTTTGTCAAACAAGGCGAACCATTCTACAAACCCCCCTCATCTTGAAATATTATATACTTGTTGTTGATTTTATTATAGAGGCTGGCCTCAGATTATGTCCCTCAACCCCCAAATCAATGTTTTCTCTGCTTAAAGGGGACAACAGAGACACTTTTTTCTGTTCCTTGTCCCAGACACCTCTGCAGTGTTTGCATGAGTTTATGAGCCACCTCATTATTTTATTCTCTGTCCTCCAGAGGAACTACCACCCGAAGGTCCGGCCTATTTGGAAAACACACAGGAAGTGTCCCATTTTAAAACAAATAAGAGTACGCTGATCAGTTTATTATGTCCCCCCCCCCCCCCCCCCCCCCCGCCCCCTTTCAAAGGAGGATAATGTGTCATAATCTTTAAGGACTATATGCGAACCGGTACGGGCACGTGTAAGATATGTTTATACACAAAAACATGCATTATTTTTATTATTATTTAGTGGCTTTATGAATGCCCTGTGGGGAACTTGTCCATTCTGTAACTATCTTTATTTCCGTGTATCAAAAACTCATGTGCTTTCTGTATGTAAATTTGGTGTTTTTTATAAAAGTGATCACGAGCTGTCCTGAAATTCCGGTTTCTAACAAAAAGCAAGAAAAGAAAAGCAAAAAAAAAAAAAAAAAAAAAAAAAAAGACAAAAATGATCAAGAAATTGTTTTCATTTTTTCCATCACATGTGAAACGTAAATCCACCAAATGTTTTTCGTTCCTACAATAAATTAACTAAAGTTTCTTAAACGATTTATATACGTTTTTGTTTAATTTAATTTGTCTAATTATTAGGACATTTGTATTTATGATGTTATTGTTTTAAGTGCTGATGGGAAACTTTTGAGGGCAACAGATTGTTTAATAATGTATCATTTCAGCTGAAGATCTTTGGATAAACGTCACATTTGTGACAGGTCCGTTTAATCCGGGACATTGGTGTCTGTTGCTGCGCTCGTGCCAAGCCGATGCATCATTTATGATTTGGTTATGGAGTTCTGTCGAAGAGGAGCGATTATTTCCAGAACAAGCTTAACAGGCAGCTAAAAAGATTCAGGTGGAAATTTTCGCTGCATAATGCACGTTTTTATATTTAAATCATCGAATTAAGAAAAACCAAATCCCAAAACAACCCAGCTCGATATTTAGGCTACATTAAATATAGGTTAGATTTTTTTAAATTATTTTTTCAAACCTAATTTGTTAAATTAAAAAAATCTACTTAGGTTGGAAACTTGGTTCATGTCCGAGTTTTGCATTTCCTGCTTTTTAGTTGCTGAATGAAAACAAACACAACCGTAAAAAACAAAAAAAAACCTCCAATGATTCATGAACGCTCACAAACATGCCTGATTCATTTCCTGACATCTTAACCGCCTCTTATTGAACATTTAATAAACACCTGACACGGGAGCCTATAATTATAGTACTCCAGATCACATTACTCTTCCGATATTTCCACGCAGAACACAATGTCTTTAGCTATTAATTAATACTGATAGTCTGCACCAGAGTCTGCAGTGTTTGTGTATCCCGGCGTTTGGGGCAGGATTCAGACGCCAAAAACTATTGAATTATTGATTGTGAGCTTCGCCAGTAATGGTGGTGGTGGTGAGGGGGTGATGGGAATGAACTGGAAGATGCTGCTCAGCCTGGAGCGCGCGCATAAAGTCCCGCGCGCCCTTACGTTCCACTGTCCCACTCAAGAGATTAAAAAAGTCACAAAGTTTAGTTCATTCTTTCATTTTTACCAACAAAAACAACATTCTCACAATTATATGGTATTCAAAGTGCATTTTACGTAATTTTCATTTATTTAAAGCCCTAAGAAACAAAATTCTCCTTGTGGACCACTATCAGCATGTCCTGAGGCGAGTGCTGGACTGGAGGGCCCTGGAGACAATGAGACGGGGACACACAAGTGTTCTGATTAGACATGGAGACTAGACTCAAGCTCACACCCTCCTCTCAGCACACTCTTAAGACACACACCACCACACAGCCAGCCAGGAGCCAGCTATGCAGCTGATTTCCCACTCACATGCCCCCTGCTTTAGCACCCGCTCAGGAAATATAGCACACAGCGCTGGATGACTAAGGGGGGAGGGCAATTATATTAAAGTTAATCAATTGGAGAGACAACAGCAGTGGACATCTGAACCCAAATGCATGCGAGGAAAAACTCACACACTGGCACACACAGATGGTGAGTCACAGCAGCACTTGACACCATGGACTCCTTCATATCAACTGGTGCTGTCTTGTTGCTATATTTACCCCACTACAAGCCCCTGAGACGAATGCTCTTCCATTTACCACACTTGGCTCTTTATCAAATTAGGACACAATCACACAGTCGCTTTTTACCAACAGAGGAGGAATTTTCCTGCCCTTTTTCTGCATTTGAATGCTGAATTTGTGGTGTTTTGGAGCCGCACTTACAGGAGTTTCTGTGAGAACACAGGAGGGAGAAACGAGCTCCCTTTTTCTGCCTTTTTCTCTCCAAGGGCCTGCCTTTGTTGCATGTTAGGAGCGCTCAAAGAGCAGGGCGCGCACAGCACTGCACCAAAGACAACAGCCATCAGGAGCAAAAGCAGATAAAAGCCCCACTTCAAAGGCATCAAATGGAGCGAAAGTGAGAAAGAAACCTGCTGAAAACTCCCTCCAACAGCACTCAGGCCAGCAATTACGACGCCGTATCGCTGCCTGTTATCACGCTGTATATGGGCCTGGGTGGCTAACCGCAGCACTTGGTGTGGGTTGCAGTCAGCAGAGAATTACAGCATTTATAGAGTTTGACTGTAACACTGGATTTAATTTCACTGCTGGATGAAAAGACGGTGTTCACACTGATTCTGACCCGTTGCTGTGGCCATAGAGGCCGGTGACCTCACACACACACACACACACACACACACACACACACACACACACACACACACACACACACACACACACACACACACACACACACACACACACACACACACACACACACACACACACACACACACACACACACACACACACACACACAGAGAGAGAAAAAAAAACAAAAGAAAACCAGCAGTCCCTAACTCCAACTCCTAAGTAGAACAAAAACAAAACAGAGGTCAGAACAAAACAAGAAGTCTAATTGTTTCACTTTTTCCTGTTTAGGTGCCCCGGGGCAATCTACACATATTTCATGTACTGGGTGCATTTTCTTTATTTGTTATTAATTCATTTCCATTTGCAGCTGCTTTGCAGATTAGAGAGATAACATAATGTATAACTCCCTGCCCTGGGAAGAAGACATAACAAGGGTGGATGTGAGACCTGTGGCTTTAGTAACCCTGAGGGGATTTTAATGTTTTCATTGGAAAAAAAGGTGACATTTGGTGTATGGCAGATGCCTTCGGGGGTGACTTTGTGTGCATTTTGCTGTGCTCATTGTTATATGTGCAGAAAGAGAGAGGGTATGAGAACAAAACGAGAGCAAGAGAGGAGAGAGTGATGAGGGGCGCGCAGTAAATGTTAAACATTTGGCCCATGCCGTTCTCTAGTTAGAAGCTGGTAAGATCCAATCATTTGTGCTCGAGTATAATCGAGTACTCGCTTTTCAATCATCAGATGTTTGTACACAGACCTCTTAAATTACAAAAACCTTTTGGAAACACAAGCCCAACTAATCTCATATTGATTGTGTTCACGCTGCTTGAAGTTTACATGATGCCCTTTTTGAAATGTCACAAAATGATCCCTAAAAAACAAAAGCAGAAATAAAGAGAAAAGGCTGACATATTTGTATTTGGATGCTCAAGTGTCTTTTTCATGTGGGCAAAGCCAGGGAGGTCTATGGCCATTTATTCTGGGGTTAAGTGCTTTTTCAACATTTTGTCCAGGGAACCATTTATGCCCATTTATATGTCTGTCAGCTGGATTCAAATGCTCTCTGAACTGGTGACAGACTTGTGTGGTCAAGGCAAAGTTTAGACACGGGGGAAATGGCCTCTGGTTTTTCAGTCTGAGCATTAATCAGACGCATACTGTAAATGTTGTACTCATGGAGCCGTTCGCTGCTTTCACGTAACCATAAATCTGTGTGCAGCACAAAAATCAATGCATCTTAGTGAGGTTTGAAAAAACATACAACTCTATGATTGATAGGAAAGCTACTCACAGTTTTTCCACTTGGTTGCTGCATGCAAACACGTCACGATGAAAAACTGAACCAAGAACTCGAGTAACAATGTGCTCTATGTTTTATATGTGAAATTTACATGGAGCTACAGCAAATCTGTCATCGCGTCTGTCATCATAACGAGAGCATCTGAAAGAGAAGAAGTTTAAACTTCTGGTTCTACAGCAATTTAGCACTAAAGGAATTTGTCCCCGACACTTTTTAACCAATAGCCCCCCCCCACACACACACACACACGATGAAAGAGAATTATGAAAAATTCAGCTTTAAGGAAAAAAAAAAGGCATACTCCATTGTTGCAAAATATTGCTTGCACTTTAGCACGTTCTCCCCTTTTTCATCTTATTTCTTCACCCTTCAAAGTGATGGGGTATTTATTTGAAACCCTTTACATTGGTCCTGTTCTATGTCACTGAGTCGTTTTTTTGTTTTTTCTGATATTTAAAGCAGCATAGCACTTTATGCAAACATTACTTAAGAAACAAAATATTTCAACCACCCTACGTCTAACACCACATGGTGATTTATTTACAAATCTTTGAGTTTTTGTGGCAGAAGTCAGCTTAGAAGCTAGTAACTATTAGCCTAGAAATCTAGAGAGACATAGCTGAAGCAAAATGATTTTGCTCTGCATGTTGTTCATGCTCCATTGGAACCTCAGTGGGTCCATGATTAGCCCGAGCAGTATTGTGCTACGTTAATGACAGCGCTATCGGTTTGGTAGGATGGGTTGATGCAACCAAGTGGAACAGCAAAGATGGTGGGGGCTCGTTTGACACAGCTTTGGCATCAACTTTGGACTATCTTGGCTTTTCTTTGAGTCAAGAGCAGATAGAGGTACTATAGTTCTTTATTTAGAAAAACAATGTATTTGCGTCTTCTTCTATGGTGTATGGAATGTACCATAGAGAGCCAAAGTCTCCTCCCTTTCCGGTCGGCTCATGGGTCCCCGGAAGAACAAAAAAAATCAATGCAAGTCAACGGGGCTAAAAACACTATTTTCTAATCCGCTTTGCCTTACGCCCTGGATGTCACATGTTGTACTGTCATTAAATGGAAAGTAATGATGGGTGTTTTGACCATGCCGGTCACGTACTCTGAGATTTATCTGTGAAAGTTTGTAATTGGCATACACACCAGAA